TTTTTCTTATCAAAGTTGTCAGAGGAAAAGACGCCATGGTCACTCATACACCATGCCATTTGTGCTGCACGTCATTCATCTCTACTCCGTGCCGTGGCTCAGTTCTTCTGCCTCCATCCCCATCAGCGAGACAGCACCGCTGGGGTCGTTTCCCCACTTGGTGCAGCTTATCTGTACAGTGGTGTTAAAAGGCTTGGTCGCCCGCGTTATCACCATTCACGAAAAAAGCTGCGTGTGTTTTTTCCCCCGTTGACGCCTCCCGTGTATTATCGTTCAGAGTAAAGTCGCCGCAATTGAAATATGCTTCCAGTACTTGGCGACTTTCACTTTGGTTTTCCCCCCCCTCGTGCTTGTCATTCTGTGTGATGGCCTCTGTGCTTGTCTCCTCTTCGACGACCTGCACGTCGCTTTGTAACGTTCCCACTGTTTCCTCCTCTTTGTGGATCTTCTTGTTTATGTCTTTTATTTTTTGGACGATCGATTTGATCAATATTTTCTTGTTCATCTTTTGGATGGCACACCCTTTCGATTTGGTGTCACGCTGGGGAGTTTTTTTCGCATCGCTCCCAGGGGTGTCCTTGTCCGTTTGGTGATTCCCTTCGGGGCCCCCCTTCTGAGATGCTCCTCTCTTTTGAAGCGTTCCTCCCCTCTGAGACGCTCCCCCCTTCTGAAGCGCTCCTCCCACGCCGTCACCCAGGATGGTCTCATCGACCACGTCCAAGATGCTGACTAGGTAGTTAATCTTCATGTCTCTGTAAAAGAGTTCGTCCCTCAGTTTCTGATTCTCCCGTTTTGCATTTTCCAAGTCGGTTTGCAGCTGTATGTTATCCCTTTTCAAATTCTCACTTCCCTTGAGTAAGCGTTTCTTCTCCTTCTCCAGAGTTGCGTTTTTCTTTGCGAGCAACTCTGCGGAGGTCCGCACAGATTGCACTTCCCTCTGTAACTCCTGAATCCTATTCCCCTTAGAGTTAGCCAAAACTATGTACTCGTCTAGCTTGCTTTTATAACTTTCCAGGAGGGTCTTCTCCACAGGGTTGGCAGTTAATCTGTCTACTTCTTCTTTAAATCTTTTATTTTCAAATTTCACATTTTCAGTGATACTCTTCATTTTGCTGAACTCATTTCGCATGTTCATATATTTGCTATAAATGTTTGTTATTAATTTTTTTTTCTTCTCTTCCTGTTCTTGATATTTTTCTGTTATGTTTTTTATCATCTCTTCGAAGTTGGTTTTCATTTTTTCCTTTTCCTCCTCGTGCATCCGTGTTTGTTCCTTGAACTTCTTTTCCTTCTTATAGTCTGTGACATTCCTATCGCTTTTCTTTACATACGTAATGATCTTTTCTGTGTTGTTACAATTTGCTCTCTTGTCTCTGATAAGTTCTTTCCTAGCTGTCCTCAAATTGAAAACGTATTTATTCCCGTTCGTCTTTTTCTTCGCCTTAACATTGTTTCCCTCTTTAGCACACCCTGTCTGTGTCTTCTCCATGTAGTGCTCTGTGATGGAGTCTCTTCTTAGCGAGTGTCTTCTGTTTGCCCCCCTTTTGTAACTCTCGCTTGTCACGTCTTCCCCATCTTTCGTGTGGAGAAAGTAATTTATGTTTTCCCGCCTTGTGGGGACACCCCTCGTATAGGGAATCCACTCAGAAACAACTCTCTTCTCATCCCCAGGCACACCTACATATCTACACAAATCGGAAATCAAATCCTTCTCTGTGAGTTCTCCACGCAAGGGGGACTTCTCCTCCACTTTCCTCATTCCCCAATTAAACAAAGACGCATGATCTACTGGGTTAGTCTTATGGCATCGCCCCTCTTCGATGGTACTTATCTCCTCAAATGTGCTCAGATTGTCAAGCAAAATTGAGGCCTGTTCGCACCTCTCCAGGTTTAACTGTGTTATATTTTTCTCTGCTCCCGTTTTGCCTGTCTCTTTTGTGTTCATAAGGAGAGGGGAGTCTCCCTCCCACGCTGTTTCACGTTTGTGTGCATGTCGCGGTGCATGCCGCTGTTCATGTCGCTGTGGATGTCGTTGTGCATATCGATCTGCGTATCTCTGTGTATATCTCTGTCCAAAGGGGTCACCTTCGTGCATCGTCTTTTTCGCGCCTGGGGGTGATGGTCACGAAGTTGCAGAGTGCTCAGCTTCAGGGAGCCTCAATCAATGGGGGGTGAACAGAAAAATCGCTGAGCTGTCTCCGTCCATCTAACTAGCCTTCTCTCTATTCACGTCTCTTCTTATACCCCTATTGCTTCTTTTCCCCAAGGCTAGGGGAACAACGAACAGAGGTGCATTTAAATGGCCCTTTTTTTTTTTTTTTATTTTATTTTATTTTTATATTGCTGTACCATCAAGGGCCTCGAATATCTCTTCTCTTTCCTGTTATAGACTCTATGCCACTTCCCTGATTCCCAAGACCTTCCTTTAACGCTTCACCTGAGGTGTCTGTTTGCACCCCAGAAAGCCAACACTGCTTTCTTGCCCTCCCCTCCTCCCGCTTCAGCATTTATACACCACGATAGCTAAATAGCCCTGATAGAAGCAGAATAGGAAGGAGCTCTCCTGCGGGGGGAATCGGTGGTACGTCAGTGCTGTAGAGGGAGACTGTAATTACTGTAGATGGGCCGCATAATTGGTGAGCCACTAATTTGGACGTCGCGCAGTTCCCTTCACAGAAACTACTCTCAAATCAGGCACGCGCAAGGCCTCCTAACCTTCGCCGAGATGTTGAAAGAGAAAGACTCCCCAATCAGGCATATCCACCCGGCTCCAAAGCTTTTGTCCAAATTTTCTTTTATGTTTTTTATGGCATTCTGCAGATGGGAGGAGGAAAGAAGCGATAAGGTAAGCCGATGTGCCACACGGATCACACATTCCTCCGTGGAGTCAAAGTGAAAAATAAATTAAAATAGAATAAAATAAACGAGGCAAAACGGCGCCACAAAAACAAGCCAACTTCCTCTAAAGTAACCCACTTCGACGTTAATTTCGTTCGTGTTCGCATCCGAATATTTGTCCAGAACCCCGGTGATGATGTCCACGATGTTGTTTTGGTTGTAATATGGTATGTCGGATTTCTGAAAACAGAGCATGGGAAAAAGAACATTTTACTTTAAGGTTGTGATCCGCTGGGAGATCCATCAATTAGCAATTTCTTTTTTTCACTTTGGAACAATGGACGGTTTGGCGCTAGGAGCAGCGAGAAGTCTTCCCCATATGGGCTGGTACCACATCACAGTGCGAACCCATTCCATCTACACTCCCCCGTCATCGCATTTTTCTCCCCAGTTTACCCTTATTAATAGGCTTTGCATATGCTTCTTCAAATTCTGCGATAGATTTTCCGAGTTCATTTTTGTCCCTCTGTTGGTCTCCTAAGTTCGCGTGGTGGGGGTGTTGTCCTGGGGCAGAAGGGTCGCTGCGCGCGGTTGCGCTCGGTAGGGAACATAGGCTGTTCTGGTAGCCTCCACAGGCGTTGGGGCTCTTCCCAGTCGTGGAGTCCTTGCCAGTGATGTAGTGCTTCCCCGATGTGGAGTGCTTCCCAAAGCGGTACGACATTCGCGGTTCCCCACCGGGAGTGTTATAGTCCACTTTTCAGACGACGAGCTTTGCCTCCAAATGGAAAAAAACCAAATTGATAATTCCACCTCACGCGCACTTGCGCTTACTGTATTCCGCAAGTACAAATTATGTTTTATGTCACGAATGGTTAGTTGTGATGATGAGACAAACTGGACAAAATGAGAGGAAAAAATACACAGCTCAAATTAAAAAAAAAAAAATAAAAAAAAGGATAAATAAGTAATGACTCAAATCGATCAAGCGTCTATAAATAAAACGGCCGTGTTTCCCACAATGCGGCAAATGTGACGATCATTATTTTTGAAACAGGGGGGACGACATTTCCCATTTCGTCTCATTACTATCTCTGCGCGCTGGTTTGGAGAGACCAATGTTTCTTTATGCACATCCCCTTCTCTCTCCACGTGTGCATAATTCCTATGCAGAGAGATGTCCGAAAAAAAAAGGTACACCTTTTTGGAGGGTGGAAAAAGGAAGGAGGGCAAAAAGACACACACAGGAACGATGCGTCTTTGTTTTCTCTTCTCCTGCGCACACGCGCGCGATTCGAAAAAGGTGCTGCGCGGGGATGAGAGTTTCTCCCCCAAATGGGTTTCCCCTTCGTCTCATGAAGAGGCACTTAAAAGATCTTCACCTCGGTTGGGAGTCCTCAGATTGACCCCCCCCTTGGCCCCCCCGCTTCGTCCTTCCGCTTCCCCGCCAGGGAAAGACAGACCTTCTCAGCCACGTAGTCCACGTTGCGTGCCGTGAGGCCAGACACGTTTATGCGCCCGTTGTCGATAATGTAGATGTGGTGCTCCTTCAGCTGGTCGTAAATCCCGGCGAACACCGGAACGAAGGAAAAAATCCCACTCTGCTTCTTATAGACACTCCAGTCATAATGTAGGTCAAATTTTTTCTGGTGAAGCTCCATTTTCTCAAAAAAGAGGACTCTATTTTTATGAACACGTTCAGATAGTTCCCGCAAGTCATTTATCCACTCCGATTTTAATTTCTCATCTTCCAAAAGTTGGCAAACAATTCTATTCGTGTGAAGCGTTGGGGAGGAGTACAACTTACGAATAATGATACGCAGACTATTTGCCACAATTTTTCTCTCCTCTTTCGATTTGCAGATAATGTGCAATGCCCCAGCTCGTTCGCCATAAAGGGACATATTTTTCGAAAACGATTGGCACACGGCAAAGGATATTCCTCTCTCTTCAAACTTTCTAATTAAGGACACATCATCGTTCAAATTGGGGGATCCGAATCCTTGGTAAGCAACGTCGAACACGATAACGTGTTTTTTTTTCCAAACAATGTCTGCTATTTGGTCAAAATAGATATCCTCGATGTTCGTACTGCATGGATTGTAGCAGGAAACCTGGAGCATGACAATAGACCCATCCTCCAAATTTCGCAAATCAGATAAAAAGGCATCATAATTTATATTCACCAATTTATCCTCAAAAAAAGAAATATACTTAACTTTAAATCCGCACGACGTTATCATGTTTACGTGATTTATATACGGCCTGTTCGTTACGCATATATCACGAATGTGAAGCATTTTAAATAATTGCAGAACTATGAAAATGGAGCCTGTGCCTCCTATTGCTTGAACTGTGCATATTTTTTTTTCCTTCATATATTTTGAATTTTCTCCAAAAATCAGTTTCTGCGTTAGGAGGGAAAATTGCTTCGTCCCGTTGCTTAACAAGTATGGTTTTTCCTTGTATCTTTGCTGTACTAATTTTTCCGCCTCAAGGACACTTCTAAATGTGTGCAGCTGTCCATTATCGTCGCAGCACACTCCAATCGACAGGTTTACCTTCACGTCCGACTTGTCGTTTTTGAATTCCTCCGCGCTCTTGAGGATGTTGTCTGGCTCGGCGTCCTCCAGATGGCTGAGCAGCGCGTCCATCTTCGGCAGGGAAGTGACAGGGACGCGGCCAAAGAGGCAGCGCAAAAGCGACGTTTTCACGATGGCTACGTCTCCCTTTCTTGCTACTTCCTGCAACGCTCCAAACTGCCGCTTAACTACCCCCAAACGAAGAAGAAACAAAGGAACGCCACCACAACTTCATCCCAACTGGTGAACAGAAAAAAACGCAACCGTTCGGCTCGTTAAAAAAAAATGATAACTTTTTTCTTCTTTGTATGGCTACCTCCAGAAGTTGGCCAAAACTTCCTGAACGTTCATAATTTTTACGACAATAAGAAAAAAAAAAAGAAAAAAACAAAAAAAAAATTTGCCACTTCCAGTTAAAAATGGTTTAGCAAGATAACCCCTATCACGGAGTAGAAACAACTTTCTACTCGTCTCTTTGGTGCGTTGTTTTGCCTATATATATGACCACCTTCCGCAGAGTGGTATAAAAAAGGAATGTAAAATCGGCTATCCGTTTTGGCGTCATGGGGCGTGGGGGGAAAGCGGCTTGCTGAAGTGAAAAATCTCATTATGCGTTTATGAGTACATTTAAGTAGTACCCAAACATAGGTATAAATATGCTTCCCCATCCCATAGGTATATATATTCCTATACCCATCTTGTACATTTTTTTCCCCACTAGGGGTGTTTCATGGGGGGGCTGGAAAAAGAATCATCGCATCAACACGGTTGGCCCAACCTGTACACGTAGTTCACCCAACAGCGCGGCCCCAGTAGGGATATATGTCCCTGCGGGGAACAAAACAGAGCGAAGCGAAGTTATTTTGAGGCCCCCTCGGCTCCCTTCTCTTCACTACGTCGAATTTGTCCTTGTTTGGGATGCCCGGGGTGCGCCACTCACTTGCCCATATCAGCAGAGTTGCATCTTTACAATTTTCTCGTATGACAACCATTTTGGTCAGAAGTGTTCGCTTAGCAGCGGAGGTCTGTTCACTTCAACAGGGGAGTTTTTTTTTTTTCCCACCAGTTGGCTCCAGTTCGCACTCTTTCTCCTTCTCTATCGCAGCATTATGGAATTTTTAAAAACATCGGTTTGGGGGCCAAACCTTTGGCAGGGCAAAAGGGACAGCATTTGACATTTGTTTGGAGAGGTGTTTTACACGGCTGCGCCTTGGCAACTGTTTTCGAACCGGGTGGGAAGCAAAAATGGGCACTTCTTTGTATACACCAGCAATGAGCTGCCAATGAGCGGTGGGTGAACGCCCCCCAAGCTGAAGCAGCGATGCGAATGCAATTCTTGCAACGTGCGGGACAAAAAAGGACACAAAAAAAAAGAAAAAACAAAGGAATGGAAACAAAAGAAAAGAAACACTCGCGTGATGTCACAAAGGGGGAGTTATACAAACATGTGCGTGGGCGACCGCCCAGGGGATGCACAGCACTTTCTAGAACCGCGGGGTGAAAAAGAAAAATTACCCTAAAGGAGAGGCGGGAACCCCTCACGAGGAATCCCATGTTGTCTTCTCCTCCGTCCCCCCTAACGGAAAACAACATTCGTCCGCCTCGCTCGTTTGACATGGATAACTCGTGTTACCTTCCTGGGGGAGCCTCTAACAGAGGGGTCTACCTCAGCTGGGTACGTGCCCATAGCCCTCGTAGGAAAGCCCCTTTTTTGTGTTCTCCTCGCATGGTTCACGCCATCATAAAGAAAGGAACGATCTTCCGTTTTCACATTGCAGCTGTTGATACGCGTCCTGCCCATACGACTGGGAATGTTGAACCGACGTGACGGTGAAGATGAGGGTGAAAGTGTTTCGTCCTCATGCGCACCTGTCCCTTTGCACGAGTCCTCATTCCGGAATGCCATCCGGAAGAGAGGAAACTTCGAAAGATATATTTTTTTCCCTCTGTAGAAAATGACTCTACAGAATTTTTTCAGCCTACTTGCATACACATCCCAGTAGTACTTCACAAATTGTTTTGGCCTGTGGAGGTTGTCTTCTAACTGTTGGTTCAATTTTTTGATTCGACTCATGACGATATTTGCATTTCTGCAGAAAAGGATGTCATATATATTTTTGAAGTAGGCCCTTTGGGGCACTTCACGGGGGGCTTCTTCTTTTCCTCCCTGTCCCTCTTTGACAACCCCCCTCGCGTACCACCCCACGCAGAAATTTATAAAGCTGTGATACTCCTGGTTGTTTCTGAACACGTTCAGGTTGATGTTCTGCAGGATATTCGTCTCTCCGTCCCCACGAGTGGCAGCTTCTATGTCGGTGTGTTTGTCAGCTTGGATGCGCTTCTCAGGTTGGAGGTGCTTCTCAGGTTGGAGGTGCTTCTCAGGTTGGAGGTGCTTCTCACTTTGGATGCGCTTCTCAGGTTGGAGGTGCTTCTCAGGTTGGAGGTGCTTCTCACTTTGGATGCGCTTCTCAGGTTGGATTTGCTTCTCAGGTTGGAGGTGCTTCTCAGGTTGGATGCCCCCTCCGGATAGGAAGTAGTACAAACTGAGCAGAGAGGGACTCGCGGCGTACTTGTAGAAAAAGTTAAAATTCAGGCAACACGTTTGTGTGTACATCTGAACTAGCCAGTGGACCCCCTGGAGGTAGTTCTCGCATCTGTTCATTTCGTCCAGGCAATTTTTTTCCCCTCCACAATTTTTCACGTAAAAGGCTTTCAAGAGGAGTTCCGTTTTGCTAGGTTCTTCTTCCACGGGGTGGTTGTTTAGTTGTTCTTTTCCAGACGACTCATCCCCACGTTGGGCTTCCCCTGGCATTGTTCCATTCTTCCTCTCCATTGGTGACTCTCTTTCTTCTTTCAAATTGCCATCTGGGGTGACCCCTGTTTGTTGCTTCCCCCCTTGGATGATCTTCCTCAGGAGGCCCGAATCAACAAAGCGCATACATGCGGGGAATTCGCTTTCCAAATAGTCATGCGAGGCGAGGTGCATGGCAATCTTCTTCCTCCTGGAGGAACCACAATAAGTGGAAGTCCTTCCGTCCATGTAGCATTGTGTCATGGTGCACCTGAACAAATCGGAACCCTCCTCCTTCTGCACCTGAATGTGCAAATCGTCTCTATTTATTTTTCTTTTGCTGATCAGTTCGTTTAGGAGAGAAAGTGGGAGGTACGACATGTGCTCTTTCAACACGTCCCTTCCTTCTTCACCCCTTTCGGTTACCCCAATTTTATCACCCTGATCGGCACCATCTCTGAATCTCTGAAGGTAGTACCTTGGCAGGTTTACAAGCTTATGCACGTGGTTTAAATATCGCACAAATTGGGGTCCATTCAGAAGGTACTCTTCTGTTAGAAATCCTCCGTAGCGACTCCCCCCAGTTTCTTCTAGCTGCATTTCGGTATCCAGCATGTTAAAATAGGCCTCAAAGAAGGTCGAAAAATTGCCTTCCCTGATTTTGGGCAAATAGTCGTTCCCTTTTAGGATAAACAGGATAAGCATGTCTCGTCTGATTTGGTCGATGGCGCTTGGATACTTCATCCAAAAGAGGTTCGTAAATGTGTTCAGATTGTAGAGGACTTTTATTTTTTTCTTCTTCCACTTTGGAGTGGAGGTCGCAATATGGTGGGTTTTTCCACTCGGCTGGGTTTTTGCATTTGGCTCGTTTTTTCCACTTGGCTGAGTCTTACCACTCGGATAGGCTTCCCCATTTGGGAGACCCTCCCCCGCGAGGTAGTCCTCCTTCTTCTTCTTTTCCCAGGCCCCCACATCTACGAGGAACGTCTGGTACGTGTACACGCAGACATTCCGCACGTCTTTCAAAGCTAGACACTGAAGGAGAAGATCCGCATCTGCCCCCACGATGACGAACGATTCGTCCGCAGCACTGCGGGAACCGAGACAACTGCTACCCCCCTCATGTGGAGAGCGGTTCCTCGCTATGTAGTTCTGGATCCAGTTCATCAGTTTCAGTTCCCCCTCCCCCACCTCCTTGTCAGTGGAAACGTACACTTTTATATGTGTATACTTTGGAAGGGATACTAAACGGGCTACAAAGTTTCGGAGAAATGTTGATATCTTCTGAATGAAGGGACTACCACACGTTATATCATTTGAGTTGTCTCCATCCCGCAGCTTCTTCCCTTTCGCTCGTCTTTTAATCTGCAGCTTCAGTTTCGAAAAAGGGCAAATGCCATCGATTGCGAACACAATGTTCTTCTGCGGGTGAAACTTCCTCAACACATTGCTTATTAAATAGGAGAGCTTGCAAAAATACTGCTCATCGTTAACAAACTGGACGTTCGCTTTGTGTAGCAGCTGGTTCATGTCAAATAGAAGGTTATCCACGTGACCGATCTTCGTTGGCCCCTTCTTCGTTTGGCCCCTGTTCCATTCAGTCCCTCCTTTTTTATCTTCCTTTCTATGTCCGAAGCTCCTCCTCAAGTGCGTCACGTCCTGCAACCTGTTTCTCTCTACGATCTTCACGCAACTGGGGAAATTTTGGATCACCCATTTGTGAAGTCCCGGTATACCCGCGCTGCTCAGCCAGGCCAGTGCCGCCAGGTACACTGCCCCTTTGACCAATAGATGTTTGGGCATGTCATATTAGGCGGTTGACATTGTGCTGGGAGGGGCTAACAGTTACTGCACTTGGCTGGGTTTCCTATTCCCACAGCTCTTTTCCGTTGTGGATTAATTTTTCCCCTTCACTTAGTGGGTATATACATACGCCTATACGTAACACGCAGGATAATGGCTACGCATGCTTGTCAACACAGGAAGAACGATGACCCCTACTTCGACACGAAAGCGCGTTCCTCGTAGCGACGACGACGAGCAGCACCCCAACCTATGTGCGCAGGGCTGAACGGTTTTTTTTTTTTTTTTTCTTTTTTTTCATCGCATCGGGAGTGTACCAACTTGTTGTTGTCCCCACGTTCGCCTCTTCCTTCCTCAGGCGCAGCAGCCATCTCGTCGTGACATGTCACACCGATTTGCTCATTTCCATTTTGGGGGGATTCCTGCCCTTCTGGAATGATCCCTCTAAACGACCGTCCCCACTTGAAGGGGACACCCTGTTTTTTCACATGTTGGGACTTACTTGCCAGTTTGCGCGCGATCGATTAGGGGTGGAGAAAATTCACGCTGGGAGACGAGAACCCAGGGGTTACATCTTTCTAGATGGGGAGAACCTTGCTGAGGAGCCGCCGCCGACCCCTTCCGCACCTCCTATCCTCCACTACACAAAATCGTGCGCATTTGTCACACCTTTAAAAAGGTCTCTAAGAGGGATCAATAAAAATCGACCTGCGAAGTTACCAATTGATGTCAAGACACCAAAACGCCAAGGCACATGCGAGATTGAGTCTTTCGACCTAAATGAGAGTGCTCCCATTGGTGCGTGAAAATAGCCTTATGCGATGCTCACGGGTAAGGCTACCTCGTTGGCTGTCTGGTTTACTAACGAATGGTTGAAGGATGTACACCCGGCTTATGCAAACTGAAAAGAAAAAAAGGAAAAAAACAAGACAGGAATGTCATCCACAGGTGCCTTGCAGGGGGGCACAGATAAACATCCATATGTCTACGAATACGCATACGGACGCGCACAGACATACACATTATGCATATGTATCTAAGCAGGTGGAAAAAAGAAAAAAAAAAAAAAAACGGGTCCCCAGTCTCCACACACACACACATTCCTATGTTACGTTTTTTTTTTCGCTAGCTAACTGTACAGTTCTTTTTTTTTCGCTAGCTAGCTGTACAGCTTTTTTTTTTTTTCTCAAGGGGGTGTAAAGAATTGTCGCGCGGGGGGTGCTGAAGCGTTATCTTGATGATCTGTTGACGTGTTATCTTGGGGATCTGTTGATGTGGCATCTTCCTAATCTGTTGACGTGCCATCCCCATATTCTGTCCTGTCCACCAACTTGAGGGCAAAACCACTGCACAAGTTTGTGGCGCGGCCGCTTCCCTTCTTCTCTCCCTCACCACGGAACAATTAACAATGAAGAAAAAAAAAAAAAAAAAAAAAGCATGCCTGTTGAGCATTTTTGCACACATTCTTTTTTTCTGCTCGCCCCTGAAAGATTCGTCCACACAACTACGTGGAATGCGCTTCCAGTCAGTCCTCCTCAAAAGATCGTCCACCCCTTTCGACCGTTTCCCTCCGCTGCTCACACGGCCGACTTGCCCATGTGCTTCTGCCTCTCCTCCATGGTGATGTATGGACTTGTGCCAATGTTGCCACCCTTTGTCTCCTTAATGAAGAAGAAGATGAAAAGGAAGGCCACAATCGACATACCGGAGAAAATGAAAAACAGAATCGTGGGGGACTTCTTAATAATTATGTCAGATGGAAACACCACTATGATAGCACACACCCAGTTGACCAAAGAAGCCAAGCTCGCCGCGCTATCCTTAATCTCCGAGGGAAACATTTCGTGAAGATAAATCCACAGCACAGGTCCATACGAAACGGCAAACGAAATTATCATCACGAAAGTTGCAGCAATGGAAAGATTCTTCACAAAAGAGGAGTCTTTATCAATCTGATTACCTATGGCAGTAGGTAAGAAGGCACAAATAACTCCTGCGCAACCACAAAGGAGCAAAGTCTTTCTTCCTAACTTCTCCACAATGTAGATCGCTGGAAAGGTCATTAAAAAATTAACTGCTGTCATTAACACACTTAGGGTCGTTATGAAGTCGTCGTCTAGGAATCCTTTGTACAGTTCGTTCGAATTGGACACCAGGACATTAATCCCTGTGAACTGCTGCATACCCGAGAGAATACAACCGAGCAGGATGACATAGCGGTAGGAAGGAATCCGCATGGCTCTCATTAACGAAATGGAATTTTTCTTCGCTACCTCGTTCTGTTCCACTGCATCTTTAATTGCCTTCAACGGATCATCCACATTATCAGTTCCGTAGATCTTTTTTAAAATCTTCTTCGATTCTTCTACTTTTCCTGTCTCATATAAGTAGTACGGAGTCTCCTCTTTAAAAAAAAAAGTCAGCAGAAGAATGCCCACAATGGAGATAACGCAGGGAAAAAAAAACATAAGTCTCCACCATATTTTCTGAAAATTTCCCAAAGGGGTCGATACTTCTGGTACTTTCCCCATGGCCATTCCTAACAGCACTGCTATGAATATGCCAAAGGTGATAAACAACTGGTGCAGGACTCCATAGGCGCCCTTTTTATCCTTATGGGTCATCTCGGAGATATACATTGGCACACTCACTGTGATTAGTCCTATTCCGAACCCGCTCAGAAGACGCGAAAACAAAATGACGTCGAAGTGATGTGTAATCGATGTCAATATACCCACTAGAATAAAAAAATTGTATATGACTAGGAGTGCAAATCTTCTTCCATACTGAACTAGGTATCCCGAAAATCCACTTCCAACCACGGCACCTATAAAGACGGACGCCAAGAGGAAGGAACTCTTCAACGTGCTACCATCACATTCCGCTTTGTTCTGCTCGCACCATCCGAATTCAATTACGATGAATTTTTTGATTGTATTCAACACACTGACTTGGTAGCCAAAGATGAATGACGCCAGGCAGGCGGCCAATACATACTTTAAGGATGCATTAAAGAAGCCATCGTTTCCACCGTTTCTTAACGACTGGGAGGAAATCTCCTTGCTTCCGCTCTTCATTGTGACTGTCTCGCGTTATGAGTAGTTATGGGAGGGGGGAAAAAGGACGGACCTGCTAGAGACTACACAAAATTTTTCCTAATCGATGTTGTCTCGATAGGTCTGTCCCTCCCAAACAGGCCTCCTCAACAGCAGAGCTCTGAGTGGACCCACGCGCATAAAAAGGTGCAAATGTATGCGCGTAAGCACATAAGAGCGTTACGTACGTACGCCTATGTGCGTAAGTGTTCCCTTGGCGACAGCTTCTTGCGCACTCCCCTCAGGTGTATTCACCTCCGCCAGGGCGCCGGGAACACCTTCTGCGTTCGCTCAAGCGCGTTTGGCGTAGTCGCGTCGAAGCACGGTGTAAGCGGCAAGGGGGCGCTCTGAAGAGGCGCCTATTCACTCATCCAAAGAATTCACATGCCCTTCCGAGCTCAATAAAACAAAAAAAAAAAAAAAAAAAACGATAGTTCAGTTTTGGGATTACTCACGTGTATTTATGTATACCGTGTGACTCTTCGGAAAAAATATAAAATACACAAAAGGCTAATTTGTTCCGATCTTTTTTTTCTTTTTTTCCCCTGTCTTTTTTAAGTTTTACAAATGAAGAATGATGTACATTTTAACATATATAGTTTAAAAAGAAAGGGAGCCGCGTTTTGTTCAGGTTCTCCACCTTGTGCTTTTTTCGCAGGCGTTTTCGCTTTACATAAATAATACTTATGGCAAATGTGAAGCGAAGTGAAAAGCTATATATATTTGCATACGTATGAAAGTCGCTTGACTATCCTCGCACTGATGAGAAGATTCCACTTGTGGATGTAAATGCGTGCCTGTGGCTGTTCACCTTCTCATGTATTAAATATGAA